CAAGCACGCGCCTCACAAAAGCTCCGCCCCGCGTGCTTGGCACACAGCCAGCGTGTTGCGAAATTGCAAAACTCCACTTTTGTTCAAGTTGGGGTCCCGCGCAGAACTGGCGTTACTAATCATTGTGGCACTACGCCAAGTTGGCATTATGCCACAATGATTAGTGATGCCAGTTCTGCGCGGGACCCCAACTTGAACAAAATATTCGCTTACTCTGGCACCTACCTATGCACCGGATAATCGACGGCAAATATAGTTGCCGCCCACGTTTGATGTGCACTTGCACAAGCAGTTTGTAAGTTATTTTGGAAGCAACAAATGAGTTCCAGTAATACAGTGCAGTGCAATACATGTACAGGGTGTCCCACAAATGTGCCTACTGTTTGATTGTCAATGAATCTCTTGTCAAAAATCTTTGGGGTGGATCAGGTATCGTCGTCTCCCCGGCGTACGTTGGGCGGAGCCTTTGCGGACATTTGAACACGTTGGCGGACTTGTCAAGCCTCTAGTGCAAAGTATGGATCTTTGTACTCTCTAATTTGCCACGTATATACGCTGTTGTCACACGTGGCAGAGTAGGTAGCGAGTGATCACAAAAAAAAAACAATGCCTTGCAGTAGAGGCTAAAGGGTTAACAAGTTCACCAACGTGTTGAGGGTGGGGGAACGAAAGCCGCCAGGTCCAGCCGCCTTTCGCGGCCAGCTGGTCCTTTCGCAGCGTTGTTGCATGTCGTTCCAGGACCAGCAGTCCGCGGAGGCGGCTGGACCTGGCGGCTTTCGTTCCCCCACCCACGTGTTGAAATGTCCGCAAAAGCTCCGCCCAACGTACGCCGGGGAGACGACGATACCATTTTGTAGAACTGGCTTTAACTTAGGTTTATTATGGAGCGAATTACCGACTATTACTGTAATGTCACGGTTGCTAATACCACGGTAGGAATTCGCAGCATATAGCGACACTGTGAAATAGGGTTCAAATTTTTCAAAAGAAAATCAAAAAATTTGTCTAACAAGATTTGCATGCATGCTGACTTCACTACATAATTTTTTGGTTCGCAGAGCTTTCTAAATGGATCAGTCCAGTTTACGAAGAGTAACGGAGATCCGCCGTTACGTTATATCTGCTTAAATTATGAAAAAACATTGCGATGGTTTCATATATGGAATCAAGCGACCCTATTCCTTACTTGAACGTAATGGCGTCCAGTCTCTGCGTGCGATGACTCGCCTATAGACTGAGTATATTGGAGGAAATAAAGTTATTTAAGCCAATGGAAGAATGCGGGAAATAATGAGTTGTAGGAGAAGACAAGACTATGCTGCATTGATACAGCGCTGAAGAGCTTATCATATATAATCTCCCGCTCAAACAAAAGGATCATGCACTCCAGCCTATCGCAACCTTTGGTTGAAATAACACCTTATCTGCGGTGAAGTGAGACGGCTATTAGTCTCGTAAAGTCATAACATTACACTTGGTCAAGGTAACATCGGACAAAGTCTAAAAGGCTTAGACGGCGATGTCAAACACAAAGATGAGAAATCAGTCTGTCCAATCGATGATAACAACTAAAAAGAATTATAGAGACAAATGAGATTTGATGACAGATTGCTCATAACTTTCTGTCAACAAGATGAGGCATTTGTTCATTAATCTAATAATTGAGAATGACTAAGTCAACGATGGATAATGCAATTTTAAAGGCAGTGGATCAGAATGGACCCTTCTCGGATTTTGGTGGATTTAGGTAGTAGACTCCTCAAGTACAGTGTAGCCCAAACCCCATTTGCCAATTCATGCGCTAAGTCCTGAAAAATGCGCTTCAAATCTCCACCAGCCCCGCCCACTCAATGGAAAGGGGCGGGGCTAGTGGAGTTTTAAAGCGCATTTTCCAGGACTTAGCGCATGAATTGGCAAATGGGGTTTGAGCTACACTGTACTGGGGGAGTCTACTTCCTAAATCCACCAAAATCCGAGAAGGGTCCATACCTCTGATCCACTGCCTTTGAGCTCTGATAAAGAGTAGTCTTCCACGACCGCGTCGCAGAAATCGTAATTCAAATAGGTAGTTCAAGTAAAATTGCCCAAATGAGATCAGCCAAGTTTTTTAAGACGCCGAGTATATCGCTGACGCAAAATTGCTGATTCTTTGTTACGGTAGGTTTACGGTAAGAAATTTGCAGGGGGTTTTGCAGCATCGAAATAGAATATTGCCCTAAAAACACTTTGAAAGGGCTAGAAAGTTTGTCACTAAATATAGAATTGCTAATCTATCTCAAAATAAATCTCATTTTTCGTTACGGCGGACCTTTATTCGAAAGTTACGCCACATACACGTAGGGATAGTAATCTAGAGTTTCTTCAAAAACTGTCCACGCCGTCTAAACTGCTATACAAACCCTTATAAAGAGAACCCCTTATAACACCTTTATAACCCTTATATATTCCGTGGAGTTAGCGTCTTCAAGCCATGTGAAATCCAGTTGCTCTTAAAGTTTTCTGAAATCCATCTGATTTTCAAGACCTGATCGGACAGACCTTTATCCTCTAAATGAGTTTGTCGAAAAATTCACTTTTTGAGCCATGTAAAGTAGCTAACAATAAGAGTCTTGAAGCGAGGAACTTGCAAAAAGGGTAGGTCTTTTTCTCAGAGATTTAGAATCCAGTTTCTTGAGAGACCTTGAATTGATCAAGTAAGAGTGCTTGACTCACAAGTGGGTCGTCTAAGTGGATCTGTAAAGTGCGCGAACAAGCTAGAGTTAAAATGCTAAAGTTATTTACACTTCCTGTGTAAATAGCAGGATCATCATGGTGCACTAAAGTGCAATGCATACAGTGGCTAGATTTTGATTGCGAGAATTCTTCAGAATTTGCTGGAATGTTTTTTGACACGAAACGGCACATTGTGGAACTAATGTGTGCTGTCTAAATACAGCGAAAGCGAAGAAAAGCTGTTTATACAAAATTTGATTTGCAAGATAACTGCTTGCGTCGTGCTCAAATTCTGCAGTTGCTCATTTGTCTCAACGAGACTTCGCTTTTTGATAGAGAGGATGCATATGAGATAAAATGAGGAAAAAAATGTACAGAACCCTTCAAATCATGTACCTTCTCGTAAAAAATCGTTCTATGTTGATCAAAAAAGAAAACTTATAGTTGGCAACAAGCCTGCACCGGTTCGACAGATTTACGATTTTCGCAAGAATTCCTCATGAAACTCAGATTGAATTAATTAGTTATGAATTTCTAAACGTAACATGGTCCATTTCTGCATCATTTATATAGGCGAACCATTTCGCGCACAGGCAGGACGCCATTCAGACACTGTCGGCGAGTCTTCGATTAAACGCACTCCCACTTCTTTTACCGTCTGCCGTCTCCTCTAAACACGCACTGCCATTCTTAGACGCAAATGCGTCCAGTCTCTGCATGTGATGACCGGCCTATACTTGAAAACCTAATCGTGGGTCAAAGCCTCTTCTTAGAAGGATGCATCTGGCTCTTCCCTTCATTGTGAGCATTTTTCATGAAGTTAAGTATCGATTTCCAGAATTAAATCTGTCATATAGACTGCAATCGCACCAAAATAATTCAAGAAAATTGTTCCATGTAACAATGCATAGATTTTTCTGGAAGCAAGCTTCCAAATGCAAAATTTGTAGAGGTCATTTCCACTTTCGTGCAGCATTTTTTTGAGAGGTGGAGGAAAGAAAAAAAGCACTGAGGGCAATTTGGAGCTTGCAGATAAAAGTTTTGCGTTACGTATTACTGCGAAGTCATTCTAGAAAAATCGACTAATTCAAAATATAGCTTCACAAGAACTAGCGTAAACAAAAGTTAGAAATATTTTTTTGCTTAAAAGTAATTCTTAGGAGCATCTGTCTCCCTGCAACACAACCACCTGTATCACCGTTGGCGCACAAATGTCAGAAAATATTTGAAAAAAATTCTCCGAGAAACTAGCATTTAGTACTGTTACACCGTTGTATAGCATGTCGAATTGGTGATTATAATGTTCTTGTGTCGCTGACAACATTTGCTCGTAAGCGATGCCAATGAGGCTCTACGGGCCTTTTTCGCGCGCAGATTGCGAGCAAGTCATTGGCACTTATGAGCATGGCATTAATTCCCGCGCAAAAGTTGTCGTCATTGCAGGGGCACTATATTACAGTCAACATTGCAGGGGCACTATATTACAGTCAAATGTACTAGACTGTAGGTCACACTGCCCCTAAGTTTTGCCAAATTGGCTGTCTAATTTATAGTTTGCAGACAGTGTCACACAATGGCGCAAGTTTTGAAAGTAATTTGAGAGACTGGAATGTACAGCGCAACACTTCCGCGTCAACATTAGACAGCTGTTATACTGTGTGTGTTTACAGAATGTACAGTTAGAGATATCGTAAGCACCTGATGCTTGAAGCATGCGTTGAGCCTCTCAAAGACACAGATCATTTTCTTAACACCAGTGATAAAGAGGATAATCTCATTTTTCGCTGGATTTTCTGCGATCCCGAATTTTTAGCGAAGCAAATGAATCGAACAGAGTTTCTCTGCCTCTGCTATTTGATCAACATGCTACTCCGACTTTCGTTGCGTACCAGCGGCGTTCGACTATCCTCTGAGCGCAGCACGAGAACGCCGCTGGTAGGGTAGACGCACGCCGCTGGTACGCTAAGGTACTCCGCTGGCAGGAGAATGGTACGCCGCTGGTACGCAAATAGGATACGCCGCTGGTACGCAAATAGGATACGCCGCTGGTACGCAAATAGGATACGCCGCTGGTACGCAATTTCAGGCGAATTTGCAGTCCCGGCAGATTGATAACACTATCAATCAACTGATATTTTGATAAATGGTGCTATTTCGCCCTTATTTTGCTTTCCTCAGTCCCTTTGCTTTTCGTTTGTCATTTTTTCTTGATTCGATGTGCATTTCGTATTCTTTCGTATCAGTTTCTCATATGGCATAGATAAAGATAATATGTTTATTTATTCTACAGGACTATGGCATAATCAGGAAAGGATTGGAATTGGAAAGGATGAGTATCGGCATCATCAATAAAGCACACGGGGTTCAAATAGCACCAACAAATATCACAAATACGGAACATCACAGGGTGGGTTCACAATAATAATAAACTCTATAAATATCAACAAGTAACAAGTAACAAACACACAAAAAATAATGTACAAAGTGATTACCACATGAAAATTCACAATGTTTCAGCCTCGTAATAATCATTTTTGTCCGTTCTCCTTCTGGTAGGTGGGGCATCTCCCTCTTCCAGATCAGCGCCCGATCTTTTCGATTGTCGCTGAAAAAATGAAAGTTGGATGGGCTACTCAGTTATCCTAAATGACTAACGTTGTGTTTTATCCATTTTTTTGTGGCCGTGTCATACTTGTAGGCTCTCACGTCGCGCCTAGAAAATAGTTTTAGCTGTCAAGGATCAAAATTCCTATCAAACTCACAATGCTAGTTGTAGACATCTGAAGTAGATGGGTCTCCACTCTCGACGCTCACGAGTAAGGTCTTTTAGATACTCGCATCTCTCTTTCTCAGTCGAACCGAGACTCTTGAAGAACCTACAATGACAAAGTTGTATCTATAATGTTTACTTACTTTGGGTGACTAACTCAGTTTCTTTGAGGTCCTTAACTCTTCCTGGGAACAGTTCGTCATGGCCGAGGCCGAGCATGTCTTCAGCGAAGTCTTTGAGCCTTTCTTCCACTTCTTCAGGCAAAGTTTCCAAGCTCCCATTTCTGCCACTTGTCCCGTCCACTCTTGCTGCATACTTCTGGATTGCCTCCGGCTTCACGGTGACCTGAAATAAATGTATGAAACTAGTATCTCAAGCTTTGCCACATCGACTGACGCGCATCAGAATGTAACGAAACAACGATGTCAGCTGTTGATGCACATTGTCCTTGTTCCGCGGAGCCCAGCTTTCACACATGTCGTTCAACTCAAGCTGAATTGTCACCGCATTAGGATGATGATGTTCCAGGAGGAAAGTGATGAAGTGGTGGGTGTGAACCTACCGTCACGAATGGGGAAGGGCCATCAAGAGGCCAGATCTTGCTACAATTCATCAAAGTTAAGGTTCTTTCTGGATAATCATTCACTGACGAGGATGGCTTTTCCATCAGTTCTAGCATCCTAGCCATTTTTTGCTGTCGCGCGGGGTAGGGCGCATTAAGGAACGCCGTTGGTACGCTAAGCGCACGCCGCTGGTACGCAAAGCCATTTGGGTACGCCGCTGGTACGCAACGAAAGTCTGAGTATGAACGATAGCTTCCGTCAGAAAAAAAAACAGAGCCATCAGCCTGTCGAATATTGCGAAATTCATTGTTAAAACAATAAACTGTTGATATTAGCATCATGTGAACAGACTTTCCCTGTGACGTTTTCGTGTCGTGGTACTTTTTTTGACATGTGTACACTTCTAGCTGAATTTTTCCGCGCATAACATGACATTTTACCAAAAACTCTTCTGCAAATACGGATACGGCTGGATTACCGACGCAAAAGTGCACATTTTACGACAAGATGGGCTTTCCTTTTTGCCCTCTTACAATTTTGCGTCAATGCTCCATATAATACTAGTTTTTATAGCAAAATTCTTGAACGGGTAATGGAAATTTTACAACATTTACGCCAATGTCCAGAGTTTTTTTCATTTCCTAGCATTCGTCAAGCAAACATTCTACTTGATTCTTCCTCGGAAATATTGGAAAGGTGCCGCTATTTTTGAGTGTCATTGAGAGCGGGAGAATACATACCCTAATTTTTCGACGCACAATATTCGAAATATCGTGTTTTATCTGTTAAGTCGTCATCTTTTTTGTCTGAACAAATGGTGTTCGACTTTCACCTATATTCTTCACTTCTTCAGCATATTGCGAAGAAACTGGGGCGCAGTGATATAACTGTCAAGGGCACAAACATGGCCAAAAATGGAAGGAAGAGGCGATTGGTTTGAAGAGAATCTCAATCAAGGCTCAGCACAGATGGCTTATAAGCAAACTGGATATCGTTTTTGGGACAAAAAGCAAAGGGGTATTGTCTCTTTAGCCGAAATGTCAAAAATTGCGACGTTTTTTAGTCGACGTTTCGTTGTTCGAGGGTTTCTACGTTTAGGGCTTAGGGTAGGGGACATCGTAAAATTTTGCCGAAGTCAAAGGAACTTCGTTTTTGCATTTTTGGAAAGCCCACCTCGTGCTGAGCCCTGTCCTCAGTGTCAAATCCGGGCTTTTCACTTATTCTTACCATCATATGTTCGGTGCTAGGTAAACGTTCTCTCATATTTACCCTCAACGAGGAACTTGCTGTCAATTGTTAATTAGTGTCCTCAAAGAATCGAATCTTCGTGAACCAAAAAAGAAAACAAAACAAATACTTGTCTTCTCCTCATTCACGCAAATAATCTGGAGCACTTCCCGTTTTAAAAAGCCTATAGTTTGCCTGAGAGGATGAACAAGAGCATTAGGTAAATACAGATGTCAGTTTTCATGAACTGACTTTTTACCATGTTAAGCAGTCTGCTGTAAAAGTCGCTAATCGAATTAGAACATAGTTCTGCAAGATGAGTTTGGCTACGGTTTTGTTTTTTACACTGCCATTCCAAAGGATTTTGCAGATGCGAGTGACTTCCTTCATTTATGAGGTAGACACTTGATTGCAAATTTTTCGCAGAAAGGGGCAAGAGGCGGAAGAAAATTTGCTTCGAAAAATCTTGTGTTTGCGAGGAAAACTAAAATACTTGCGCGAAAGTGAGTGATAGATGTCCTTGAAAATGTTGCGATAAAGTACTAGCGGTTCGAGAAACTGCGTCCCTAGTGTTTCTTCTCAGGACTTTCGATTATTACCTACCCCTCTGTCACCACTCCTCTCTTACTTCTGCCTGTATCCCACCTGGTAAATATGAATTCTATCGGAATGCGCCCGGAATGGCTGTGTAAATAAAGAATGTGCACAAAAAAATGGTCCATACAACCAGATCACAGTTGTATGCATTCCATTCTCGCAAAACGCGCAATTGGAGAATTTACATAGGAATCTCTAGGATGACAAGCATAAATAGAGCAAGCCGCAGAAATTTTTTTGAAGGAAGAAAATGGCAATGCATGTATTTTTGGGTAAACAGACACTGTATTAGCTTGGTTTTCTAGATCCTTTTAATTGCTCAGGTAGGAAAAATTGTTTGAAAACTAGTCTTCAAAGAAACCTGGAATATCAATATATTTTGTACATACACTGATTGATTGCTTATTATTCGGTCATATACGTGATAGATCCACAAAAGGACTCCTTAACGACGAAAATATTGCAAAATTGTGTAAAGGAATTTGTAAACACATGAATTTTGGGACTTAGAGTTTGACCATTCAATTCACTTTAAAAAATAGCTTGGTGTGGCTTATGTTACTAATTTTTTACGTTTCTATTTTTTTCTAGTTTACCAGCATTATTTTTTACTTCTGCTTTCCATTGTCTTACCGTAAGCTATAGTAAACTCACCTTTTTTAGTTTTGAATACAGTATGAGAGATGCTTCACAGCAATAGTAATAGGTGAAATAAAAAATGCTGGCTCATACTAGTACAGTTCTCAAAAAAATGTCATTTTATAGCAGCTACATCAACACGAGCTGCTGCAAAGTGCAAGATCCTAATCAGCGTGGCTTAATTTCTGCAAAATTGCGAGTATTGCTGCAAGTGCTAATTAGAGTTTATTCAAAGTACAAATCCCTCCCCTACTGCTGAATCTAATCGCAGTATGTAGGAATTCGATTTAGTATAGATGCAAGAGATATCGCTGAGCACATGGTTGACCTATGATAAAAGTGAACTATGCGAAGATTAGGAGAACTTAGAGAATTTTTTGTTCTTTTTGGTTTCAGTTTAGAAAAAAGTAGGCTTTTGTAGACTTTTTCACATTGATGACCAAGGAAGAAAGCATTCGTCACCTAACAATCAATCATTTGGTCACACATAATGAAACAATGGCGAAGATGGAAAATAAATGAAGGAAAAGGAAACAGAGCAAGAGCATACATCAAAGCAACGAGAAGAACCCCGTTTCCATCAGTGGCGGTCGGAGAAGAATTTCTTTTTCTTTGGGGGGGGGGGGTTAAAGGGAGAAGATAGTCCTTTCTAAAGAAGGAGTGGCGTTAGTTACGAAAATTGTTGGGGAGCGGGCTTTCCGAAATTCTCCGCTTTCCGGAAATTCAAACTTTCATAAAAAAGGGGGCGTAGGCAGGCTAATTGGATTTCAGAAAATTTGAAGTTTATTTTGAATCCCCCAAGTAGGTCCAACTTTTGTAGACGACTTTCAAGAATTTCGCGGTCATTCTCTGGGGAATGGCTCTACCCAGGACGTCACTGGCGGTTGCTGACCAATAACAGCACTTTAATTTGCTTTATCATATCCCGTCCTGGCCGGAATGAATACTCATATTACTCGGCTAAGTTTTTTACGGTAGTATTACTTAAATTTCTAGGAAGAAAGCAATTTTACATGCACCCCAGCAAACAAGATCTCCCCATTCTGTTGCGATCTGCTTTTTTTCTCTCAGATCTGGCGCGTACCGTAGCAATACACAAACATAAAAACTCGCAAAAATGTCACCTACGTAGTTGATTGTTCGCTGCGCAATCCTGGTACAAAGTTCGTTTTCACGGCGTAATAAACGACGAAGAGATAGCTGGTTAGATGTGACAGCCGACTATCACACATGAGCGAAGATGTCAAGTTTTGAGAATTTATGTCTATTCTGGTCATGATTTGTTGCGCAGATTGTGAATAATAAGGAACGAGACTATAAACATATAGTGTGCGTGACTATTCCGGTCCCAGACTTTGTCCAGGGAAGGGAGAGGCCTGAGAGAATTTATCCTTCTTCGGCGGTTCACCGGAGGTTCTACTGGACATTCGGGGAACAAAACTCTAGCAGCCCTTTGTGGAAAGTGCAATTCCGTTTTCAATCATTGTGGCGTCAAGTCCCTGCGGAAGTTCCCGTTCTCAACACTCAAACGTCTATGATATCAAGAAAACTGTGTAACCGCTGCGAATCTTGGCCGGAGGATACGTGACGAAGTTGCGCAAGTGAGCCTTCTAGAATTTTTTAAAATGCTTCCAAAATTCTAATGACCCGAAAATATTTACAGAAAAACCCGAATTATACTACAGAATTTATAAAAAATAATTCTGAACTGATTTGTGACACAGAGAAAGAGAAATTTATTCAAAAAGTCGCTCACCTCTTCTCGTCTTCACCCTTTGTTTGATTGACGATCTGACCGCTTTCCGGATTAATTAGCGACAGTCCATACTCTAGGGTAAAGAGTACGAAATGAGTAATAGAAGTGTCGATGCTCATTGCTTTCCATTGACTTTAGCTTGATTAATATCGATAGTCTGCTTTAATTAAAAGAGATGTTGATAGTTGATTGAAGCTGGCATACAATGGACAGACTCGTTTTCATAGTGGAGGCGGGAACGAGAGAGAGGGGGGGGGGGGGAGCGAACGAAGCGCCACGTTGTAGTGTCATTTCCGAGAGAGATCGCATCAGCATTGACCTTGTTTTGTTTGTTGAAAACCTATTCGTAAATAAGATTGCACTAGATTCGTTCTTTGAGATAGGTGAAAGAACTCCGCTGAGATCAAAATTTTGGAGCAATGGATGCTTCTGTTCAGACAAGAAAGGTGAAATGGGATTGTCCTCAACCACAGAATATCTAGGTCTGCGTGCACGACATTCATTGAGGCAGGATAAGAAGAAAATGTAAGAAACTAAAGTCTGCCTTCATGACGATCAACGAAGCGCAAGGGCAATCCCTGCAATTCCTGAACGTAGGAGTGGGCTTGGGAATTCTCCTTACGTGGTCAGTTGTACATGTTCTGTTTGAGGGTGGGGAGTCCGGCGACCTGTACTTCTACATGCCCGAACATAGGTAGTATATACCAAGGCGCTATCATGATTGCATGTTGTACATCTTATATATAAAGCCGAATGTCTGTTTGTCTGTCTGTCTGTCTGTCTGTCTGTATGTACGTATGTTCCGAATAGAAAATTCCATTTCTGAACCGATCGGGACCAAACTTGGCACACATACACTTCGGGCCCCGGCGGGTGTCATAGGCTACTTTTCGTCAT